GAATCAGACAGCCATAAGTTTTACTATGCTGGAAACAACAAATTGAAAAGGAATGGCATCTTTGTTAATCTTAGATGCTCTACAGTAGATAGCCATGGTGCTTTCCGCTATCACATTTCCTTTATCTAGAAATGATATCCCACATCCTTACCACAACCTCATTAAACATTAATTGTAGTGAAAGCTCTCAACAATTTTTGCATGACCCCAATCCCCACACCTAGCCATCGACTGGTCCCAGGGTAGGCATCTAACACAAGGTAGAGTAACAGAAAGAGTTAAGCTGCAGCAACAGAGAACCTGATATACAATATTTGAACTAATTTCCCCCCTGATATAACAAGAAATTTCAAGTTAGGCAGTTCAGGGCTGCTCTATCTTCTTAAGAATATCATCAGGACCTAGGATCCTTCTATCATCCTACTCTGCAAACCTTATCATGTGATGTTCGTAGTCTTGGTCACAATATGGTTGTCGCAACACCAGATATCACATACATAATACAACAGGGAAGAATTGAAGAAACACTAAGGGGAAAATGTAAAAGACTAAACAGGCAAGCTAGGTGATCCTGTCCCTTTTATCAAACTTCCTAGAATATCTGGGTGGTATGTACTTGTATAAGGCACTCTGGTAGCATAGTGGTTACGAGTTGGGCTGCCAGCAGTTCTGTCGGAGAAAATGAGGCTTTCTGCTCAAGTAAAGATTTACAGCCTCAGAAACTCTACACAGGGTCGCTATGAGTCAGAACTGACTCCACAGCACATAACCACCACCATCACCACCATATACTTGTGTATCTCTGTGAGAAATTAATTTTAAAATTACTTCAGCTAACCAAAACCATTTCCTGAAGTTACCTTTAAGAGAAATAACAGTTTGGCACACAAAATAAAGGCTATTAACTGTGAATATGGTGCTCCATTATGAAACCAAAAGATCAACAATTACTCTAAAGCAAAGGCGAGCGATAAGGGAGCAGATGGCATGAACATTAGAGCACTGAAAACGGAACATCCAGAACGCAATGAAAGGAAGGTTGACACATTGTGAAAAATATAACTACTAATGTCACTCAACAATTTGTATAGAAATGGTCAAATGGGGACCAAATTTGCTATGCAAACTTTGACCCAAAACACAACAAAATACTTTTGAAAAAAAAAAAAATTCATTTACAGAAAAAATGAGAAGTTACTCAGCAATATCAAATTACATTGGGTATTTAGTTAGAAATTGGTGATAATAGCATAGTTTGGTAAAACTGGTGGAAATTATGGGCTCCTGGTGTGGCACTGTGGGATCAGCCCTGGACTGAGATACATAAGATGGGCAGTTCAAACCCACCAGCTGATTCTTAGAAACACTATTCAAGGTGGCTATGAATTGGAGCCAACTTGATGGCCAATAACAACATCAATAGTGGGAATTATATGATTGTGTGTTTATGTGTGTGTGTTAGAAGGCACTAAAGCTATCAGAAGGATAAAGGTCAAGTCCCTTATCTCTCTGGAAAATGGCAGAGTAACAGACCACTAGGCCTAAAATAGGTGATTTGGGGGCTGGAGGAGAGATGAAGTTCACAAGAACTGTGAGAAGCATGCAGAGTTTGAAAAATGATATTTAATATGAGAGGGCTTCAAAAAATTCATGGAAAAATGGAGCTGAAAAATGAATGATTTTTATCCTTGAACTTTCTGAAGCCCCCTCATATATCTATTCCTAGTGAGGGGGGCTGCAGAAAGCACAAGGCTGTGTAGAAGATAAAGTTATAAAGCAGTTTAGGATACTAGTTTTACAGAAATACAAAAATGAGAACCTCTACTTTATATCTCATGTTTTACAACTTATTTTCTCCCCACTAGCATTTTGATGGACTACTGGTTTGGCACTGTAGGATCAGCACTGAACTGAGAACCACAAGGTCAGCAGTTCAAACCCACCAACTGCTCCTTGGAAACCCTATACAGGAGCACTATGAGTCAGAATCAACTCCATGGCACTTAACAATAACAGCATTTTGATGTTAAAAACTGCTTCAGTAGGGGTATCTTTTATTTTCTATACTAACAAATAATACTTTAATATAAAATATTGACCTGGTGATAAACTCCATGAAGATGATTTAAATTCAAACTAACTACTATTGAGATATTTCCGAATTAAGTTTCCTAATTTCCAATGTAATAGGGATGAAGATAGGAATGAAGCTAGAACAAAAGGAGAACAAGATGGGGAGGGAGGTCCATTGTGTGGAGCAGCCAATGATGATGGAAGTGTTGGACACCCAAACGCTAGTATGTATTTTGCTCAGATCTAGCCTACGTGACTGGGCAAATGTTCAAATGGCCTGTTCCTGTTTGTTTATTTATCACTTAATTCACTTTATGGGTATTCTCAGAATTAGAGCAATATGAAAGAGGATTCTTACAGAAAAAAAGAGCCAAAGATGTTCTTTTTTTATCATTTAGGAACTAGGTCATTTATCACTAGCACCAAACCCGCCAAGTCCCATCACAGGCATCCAGAAGAGGGAAGCAACCCCTATTAGAGCGATAATCCTTATCTTTCCTTTCCTTCTCTTTCAACTCAGCCTCCCCATAAGTTACACCAGAACGAAAAGCCAGTAGTTTTTCTTTCCCCAAAGTAGTTTATTTCCTTCGCAACGTAGGCCTTTGCCTTCCATTGTATTTTAGCTGCTAGGCTTGGGCAGGCATGTTCATCCAGTTAACATTGTCTCTCTACGGTGAGAGCTGCTACGTGCAGTTAGTCTCACCCATGCTGTTGTTGTTAAGTGCTGTTGAGTCAGTTCCAACTCATAGTGACCCTTTATAGGGTTTCTGAGGAGCAGCTGGTAAGTTTGAACTGCCAACCTTGTGGTGTGCTGTCTGGTGCTGACTCTATAGCACCATACCAGGAGTCCATTTCTCACTCATAGTCACTGAAATTCCATCTCTGCTTTTCGCCACTAAGACAAAACCTGTAGGAACAATGACCATTGGCTTAAGTCATCATCTACTATTGGTACAGGGTCGCTATGGGTCGGACCCGACTCGATGGCACTTAACAACAACAACAACAACTATTGTTACGTAGCTGATGATTCAGAGCAACTCCTATATAGGGTTTCTAAGGCTATAAATCTTTACAGGAGCAGAAAGTCTATTTTCTCCCATGGAATGACTAGTAGATTTGAATGCCTAACCTTGTGGTTACCAGGCTGCCATTGTTGTTAGGTGTAGTCATGTTGTTTCAGACTCATAGTGGCCCTATGTATAACACAAGGAAACATTGCCTGGTCCTGTGCCATCTCTACTGTTGCTGCTACTGGGTCAATCTATCTCATTCCGGGTCTTCCTGTTTTTCGTGGACCCTCCACTTTACCAAGCATGATATCCTTCCAGGAACTGATCCCTTCTGATTACATGTGCAAAGTATGTGAGATTAAGTCTTGCCATCCTTACTTCTAAGGAGCATTCAGGCTATAATTCTTTCAAGACATTTTTACTAATAGAAAATAAAGTTATTTTGCAAACTTAGGGCAAATTTGCCCATCGAAGTCGTTCTTACACTTTTAGGTGCTCACACCATGGGGCAGTGGGATGATTGGTTTTCATTGGCATGAGTTGATTCCAACTCATGGTGACCCCATATATACAGAGAACTGCTCTGTAGGGTTTTCAAGGGTGGGACCTTGAAAACTGCTGAGCCTGTCTTCTCACACCTATAGAGTGGGTTTGTGCTGTCAACCTTTCTGTTAGTAGTGAAGTACTTAACCATCTGAACCACCCAGGTATTTCAGTGGGACGGTTAATTACTTCCATTTCTTTACAGTGTGTGTGTGCTAGAGGGGAAGAAGATAGGTGGAGATTTGGATGGGGGAGGCAGTGTAGATATTCCTCCTGCCTCTGAAATGGGACAAATATTTGACAGTGTAAAAATGTATTGCTTACTAATCAGTATATTTATTAAGCAATAAGTATTTTTATACTTCTTTATTTCTTAATTACCCAAACACCCAATTAGGAGTTTTAGAGTGGTTAAGGAAAACAGTTTCTTTGCTTTTCTAGGAGAGAGTTGACAAAAGTTTATGGAAATATGGCATTAAAAGATGATGGAATTTGTTCATAAATGTTTGAAACCCACTCTCATTGTTGTCTAAAATAATCAAGTTGGAGAATATTTTAGGTTCAAAACTAAGATGTGGACTTGATCCCAGAAAGTCTTTTCCTAGGATTCTAAGAAGCTTTTACTAATTTTTCCTATTTCTTTTTAAAATTAGCCTTTAAGTAAAGTGTTTCCTAGGCTTTGCCCCCACCCCTCCCACAAGCTCCAGCTCTAGGGGATGGGGCCCAGGATGAAGGGGCATTTCATAGCTACGGGGTAAGATCCTGTGTTCTGCAAACTGACTTCTAAATTTTAAGTAGAGATGGGAGAGCTTATGACTACATTTTTGCTCGGATCCATTTTCAGTTGGAGTCCTAGTATGACGCTGTAGGAAAAACACTGGTCTGCTTACAGCAAGATCAGCAGTTCAAACCTTCTAGAGATTCCTTGGAATCCTGTACAGGGTCAGTGAGTCGGAACTGACTCAACTGCACTTAACAACAGCAACGTCCTCAATTCCCGAATCCTACTTTGTCTTCTGAATGTGGTTGATTAAACAGTAGAGCCAAAGAACCTTTATTTATTGCCTTCTTAGCTTGCATAGTTGGCTTGCAACCTCCGCCTTTCAGACCCAGCCTATGAGGGCGGAGGTTCTTTATCTCCCGGAATGGGCGGGCGCGGCCCCAGCAGGCGGAGATAGGAGCCGGAACTACAGCTCCCAGCATCCCCACCTTCTGCCGGCAGCCGGACCCGGTAGTAGCTCCTCTACTGCAAAGGGATTTACACTTGTGGCTTGTCGGCAGGGTTCTGAATCGCGGGCGCGAGCGTTGCCCGGGGAGATACTGCCTGGAGCATGGCTTTGCACCTGAGCCGAATGAGCACGGGTCGCGGAGCGCTGCGCGCTTGGCCACGGCGCTGCGCAGCAGGTCACATCTGCCGGCTGCCTGGCACGGCTGGCACTGTGCAGAGCCGCGGGATGGGGCATGGCCCGACAGTGGGGGGAGGCCCTTGGAGGAGAACTGGGTTGACCGCGGCGCTGGCTGGGCTCGCGGGGCTGACCGCCGCCGCCTTCGGACACATGGAGCGGGCGGAGATGGTGCCCAAGAGCGCAGGGGCGTGGAGCTCCCAGCTGGGGAGGTCCGAGGAGCAGGACGAGCTGGCCCGCCGTTGCAGCTGCTTCATGGCCCCTCCTGTGACCGACCTGCGTGAACTGCGGGGTAGACAAGACGACATGAAGACCAAGATGGAGCTGTTGATCATGGAGACCCAGGCCCAGGTGTGTCAGGCGCTGGCACAGGTAGACGGAAGCGCCAGTTTTTCCGTGGACCGGTGGGAGAGGAAGGAAGGTGAGGAGGTCGGTCCCTAGCGGGAGGTGGAGTTGGGGGAAAAGCAGTGGGGCTTTTGGTTGCCTGCAAGAAGGGGTCTAGAACTGAGTTGGCAGTGGGAAGTGAGTTTCCCACCAAAGAATTACTTGGAAGGAACACCGCGTCATCAGGCCTCTACTTATAAAATGTGAACCCAGTTCTGCCCTCACGCTAGTGGACATTTAAAAATCTTCACGATTATATAATGACACATTAAATATATTTTAGGAATACTTTCAGCCATATCCACACTTGCTAATGAAGATAATTTTTTTCCCTGCATTTCATCTTCTCTGCGTGCCTTTACATTTTCCATTTAAATGAAACAAGAAGAAGGAATAACCCCATGTTGTGTGTCAAATGACTTTAACAAGAATGAGGGTGTCATTCTGTCAAAATCTTAACATCATTGCTCAAGAAGTACTTCATTGGTTTGTCAGTACTTCCAAATGGTCCCTTGAGATAATTGCCTGCTAGGATATACATCTCTTCCAATGCCAAAAATACCTTAGAATTAAAAAAACAGTCCTTGTAAAGTCACATATATTTGTGACCATGTTATTGTCTTTATAGTGAAACTTCATATCTTTGAAGTCTTCCTGGAATTTTCTAGCAGGGATTATGACAGCAATTCGTCATTGGCATATTTGGAGCTAAGGAGCTCTGGTAGAGTAGTGTTTACAAGTCGGGCTGCCAACCTCAAGGTCTGGCGTTCGAAACTACCAGCCGTTCTGCGGGAGAAAGATTTACAGCCTCGGAAACCCTGTGCAGGGTCACTATGAGTCGGAACCTACTCTACGGTACTTACCAACAACAACAATATTTGGAGCTATGAGACTGTCACATTTGTAGTAAATGGGGTTAAGTTTGCCTTCTATAGTATTTTCCAATCTTGAAATGTTTTCAATTGAAGATCACTGAAGGAGGACACAACCTCTGGTCCTAAACTAAATTTGTGACCCTGGAAAGTTACTTATTATTATTATTATTTTTGCCTGTTTCCTCATCTGTAAATTGAGATAATACTTGTTGTTAAGTGTTGTCGAGTTGATTCCAACCCATAACAACCCTGTATAGGGTTTGCACGGAGCAGCTGGTGAGCTTGAACTGCTGTCCTTGCAGTTCAAACAACTTTGCAGTCAGACGCATTAGCCCCACAGCGCCACGATATAATACTATACCGGTTTTATGATGGTTAAGTGGGATGAATACGTGTAACGACCTTAGAGTATTGTCTGATAGAAAGCACAGAGATGCTTGTTTTAATCACCGGCTGTGTGATCCAGGATTAAGATGTTGTACCACTCTGGGACCTCAGTTTTCTGATTTGTAATATTCAAGGGTTGTATTGGATCATCTTCTGTTCCATCCACTACCAACATTTCTTAGGAATAAAACTAAGCATGAATCCTAGTGAAACAATTGCCCCTGTGACAACTCAAGTGCCAAATGCACTGGTTGTCCCACTCTTTATAGGAGTTCCTGGTTGGTGCAAATGGTCATAAGTCTACCCAGAAGAAGTTTAGAAGAAAGGCCTGGTGATCCATTTCCAAAAACAAACTAATATTCTGACACATAAGTCAGAAATGACTTGACAGTTGGTTGGTTCACGCATTGTAAGGTTCTGAATCCTTTAAAGAGTTCTAGTAGTTACAGTTTTTTAGTTGCCTATAGATAAAATTAAAAGACAAACAGCATATTGAGGGGAAAACATTGCAACAGTATTGTTGGTATCATAGCGAACCTATATAGGGTTTCCAAGGCTGTATAGTCTGGAGCAGACAGCTACATCTTTCTCCTTCAGAGTGACTGGTGGACTTGAACCACCAGCTATGTGGTTCACAGTTCAATGCTTATCCTACAGAGCCACCACACTCCCTTGCAACAGTATGTTGTTGTTAAGTGCCATCGAGTCAGTTCTGACTCACAGCAACCCTGTATAGGAATTCCAAGGAGCGGCTGGTGAGTTTGAACCTCCAACCTTGCATTTCAAACCAACCTTGCTGCCCAGTGCTTTATCCCACAGCAACACACCATGGAGCTTTTAAATTCACTAACAGTAGAGGGATACCTTTCAAATTAATACCTTATAGTTTTTCACTCATGTAATAGCTTTCTCTCATGTAATTGATGGATGGTATTCTGGTGTGGTGCTGTAGGATAAGCACTGGACTAGTAGGTTGATTTGAACCACAAGCTTGACAGTTCAAACTCACTAGCCATTCCTCACTATGAAGTGGAACCAACTTGATAGCACTTAACAACAACATTCTGAACAGTAGTTTATGAAGGGAAGTAGTCTAGTGACTTATTGTAGATGATGTTGTTGTATGCGGTCAAGTCAATTCTGAGTCGTAGCAACTTTGTATAGGATTTCTGAGAGTGGCTGGTAGGTTTGAACACCGACCATGTGGTTACCAGTCCCATGTTTATTGTACAGTGCCACACCAGGGCTCAAAGTTAAACTAGTTTAATACATTTTATATTTAAAAAATAAAACGTGTAATGATATTCTAGATGATTTAGAAATTAGAGGAAGAAAAGAACTTCTAACCCCATCACCTTCATGAAAATGCTGTTTTAGATTTTGTATATACCCTTACATTTTCTCCCCATTTCACATTTCTATAAATAGGAGGTGGTGGTATAAGCTGTGTGCTTCAAGACGGGCGTGTTTTTGAAAAGGCTGGAGTAAGTGTTTCTGTTGTTCATGGAAATCTTTCTGAGGAAGCATCAAGACAGATGAGAAGCAGAGGCAAGATCCTGAAGACTAAAGATGGTAAATGAATTGTAACAGCTTTTAACAGTTCATGCAAAGCTTCCCCCTCCCCCCACATCTTTTTATAAAATACATATTGTTTCTGGAAAATTCTATATGAGTACTTATGCCAAGTAACATGTTCGTAAGTGCCATTGAGTCATTTCTGACTCAGTGACCCTGTATGGGTTATCCGACGAGCAGCTGGTGGGTTTGAACCACTGACCTTGTGGTTTGTATTCCAGTGCTGATCCTACAGTGCTGCACAAATTGCGTTTGGAAAGTAATTGGTGGGTCAGTCGTAGCATTCTCACGCTCCATGTGGGTGATCCAAGTTGGATTCCTGGCCACTGTACCTCATACACCCATTTGTCATTGGGGCTTGCTTGCTACTGTGATGCTGAGCAGTTTTCAAAGGTGCTCTCAAGAGTAAGGTAGACTATCTAGGAAGAAAGGCCTGGTGAACTGTTGCTGAAAAATCAGCCAATGAAAACCGTATATATCACAATGATCGTGGGAGTGGTTGTAAGACTGGGTAGCGTGTTGTTTAGTTGTGCATGGGTTACCCTGAGTCCAGGCAGATATATATAATGACAGCTAACAATAATAATTGCTTATGGAAAATTTTATTTTAAGAGTAAATTTAAAATCTTCTTTTGAAAATTGATTCAGTATCCACATTGAAATTAGTTTGTTTGAATCCAGGTGTTCACAGCTCATTATGTGGTTTGCTTTCTAGGTAAATTGCCATTTTGTGCTATGGGCGTGAGCTCTGTTATCCATCCCAAGAATCCGCATGCGCCTACTATCCATTTCAACTACAGATACTTTGAAGTAGAAGAAGCAGATGGTAAGGACCTCTGGTGTGTGGAAACACTTATTGTGCAAAAATGTTTATTTAAAAATAGGTAAGATAGCATAAGATTTAAACGTGAGAAAGAATAGTCATATCAGGGTAGATGTAATGAATTATGTACTAGGCATGAAAAGTAAGAAGGCTAGTGGCTGGGCTCTGACCTCCCCATCTTTTCTATGATATAATGTAATAATAGTAGAATACACACTGGGTTCTTTGAAGATATAAATCCATTATACTTAAAGGAAGACCTTATGTAAGAGATAAAGTTGAAATCAAGAACCTGCTTTTGGAATGTATTTTCTGTATGCATAGCTTTCCTGTATGCATAGCATTGCTAGTCACAAGTGTTTGTTTTCTTAAGTGCTGTCGAGTTGGTTCTGACCCATTGCAACCCTATATAGGATTTCCAAAGAGCAGCTGGTTGGCTTGAACTACCAACCTTGCAGTTCAAATGGCTTTGCAGTCTGGTGCATTAACCCACAGTGCCACACAAGTGCTTGTCACTGCTTTAAACGGTGTAGCTGATCATGTCTTATGCCTTGTGGGGCCAGCCTGTGTCTCCCATTAGCAGAGCCAACGGTCAGAGCATCTCTGCAGTATCGTACCTACACGTTTTGAGGTCTCTTCAGGTGATGATATTTAAAGTCACTGTATCCATTTTTCTTTTTGAAGGCATTCACAGTTTGTTCAAGCTTTTAATGTTTCAGAGTTGATAACTGGCCTTAATGGGCTTCACTAGTTAACAAAATGGTTAAGTGTTTAGCTACTTACTGAAAGCTTGGTGATTTGAATCTGCCCAGAGATCCCTTAAGGAACTCTGGTAGCATAGTGGTTATGAGACGGGCTACTAACCTCAAGGTCAGCAATTTGAAATTGCCAACTGTTCCATAAAGATTTATAGCCTAGGAAACCCTGTACAGGGTCGCTGTGAGTCGGAACCAGCTTGACAGCACATAACCACCACTAACCAGAGATCCCTTGGAAGAAAGGTCTACTTCTTAAAGGTCACAGCCACGGAAAATTCTATGGAGCAGATTTACTCTGACATTGGGGTCATAATGAGTCTGATCAGTTAAAAGGCAACTGTTTTTCTTCTTTAAACGGATACTGATAACATTTAGACCTAAGTAATGTGTGAAATAGTCGTTCTCAAAAAGTTAAGTTGCCTTTCTCCATAAATTGTGGTAGCAGTGGTTTTTAATCCAGGGAGCATTAGACTCTCCTAGGGAACTGCATGCAGTATAGATGATGGGGCTTCACACTCCAAGATGTGATGGTGATTGTGACCCAGCAGAGGTATATGCAGCCAGAGTTGCGATCCACCTGTATGGTGTTTAACATTCACTCTCATGGTTATAGCATTTCCCTACCATGCAGATCATATCTACTCTGTCTTTTTCTGCCTCTACTTCTTTCCTGTCTAGGCCTTACCATACAGAGTGAAAGCGATTTGATTGTCACTCATTCATTGTCTAATAAATTTAGCTGATAAATGTTTACAAATATGATTAATACTCTGCTGAGTCTCCAAGTCTACATCAGAATCATGTGTGTTGATTGTAGGTAACAAGCAGTGGTGGTTTGGTGGCGGATGTGATCTTACTCCAACATACTTGAACCAAGACGACGCAGTCCATTTTCACAGAACTCTAAAGGACGCTTGTGACCAGCATGGTCCAGATCTCTACCCCAAATTTAAAAAATGGTAGGTAAAAGTATTGAACTTACCTGGATCCTAAAAGCATATTCCATTTTGTTCCCTTGTGGGTCCCAAAGGTAACGGTTTTGTCACTAAGCACCTTCTTCAACTTGTGAAGATTAAATTTTGCTCACCAGATTTGGAATATCAATCTTAATATTTTTAAATAAATTATTTATAAATATGTGTATGTATATGATATCAACTGGACTCCTAGTATGGTGCTGTAGAATTAAGTACTGGACTATGAACCACAAGGTCAGTGGTTCAAATCCACAGCTGCTCCTAAGAAACCTTGTACAGGGTTGCTATGAGTCGGAATCGACTCGACGGCACTTAACAACAACAATAATATCAATATGGGCTGCAGCATCTCTCTTTTTTGATCCCAAGTGATTTAGAATGGTAGAATATTAACTTTACAGAGGAGTAATCTATGCTCGAGGACCAGGGGTTTTGTGAATATAGGGTGGGCTATTCACCATCCCAGATGAGAACTGGTGTTTTGTTGTTACTGCAAAGCAATGATCACAGAACTACTAAGAGGAGGTGTAAAAAGACCAGAAAAGAGAAAAGTGCAACTGAAGACTTTAAGTAAAGAAAGTCCAATGATAAAGCAAGAAAAGAAAAAGAAACAAAAGACCAGGAAAATTTGGTAGATATTAAATGTGGTCCTGGCATAAAATGTTTGGAATAAAAGTACTGTGCATTGCTTAGAGGTAATTGATTTAAAGAGGTTTTCTTTAATAGAGAAAACCAAGAAGGGTTTTTGGGTGCTTTCTTTGTTCTTTTTATGCTTTTAGAGCTAATAATTGGGGAAAGTTGATGTTATTTCTGCAAGAGCATAGATTCCTGTGTTAAAATTCTCAGAAAGGAAAGAAGAAACATTTGCATATCCTCTTGATTTCATATAACCACTGAGAACTACACAGCTATGGACACATGCATATATGAGATGGAGGTTTCTTTTTTGTTTTTTATCTCTCCCTTAAACCATTATCCTTCCAGGAGAAGGACTGGTTTACTCTTACAGCTGTTAGTGAGATGACTTTAAACATTTTTTATTTGATAAAATATCTAAAACTAGGCTAGATTAAAAAGTGTTTTTTTTTTTTTTTTTTTTGTAGAACTTAATTTTATAGAGATATTTTGAAATGCAGGCAGTCTTTGGATTATGAATGAGATCTGTTCCTACTGGTATCTTTAAGTCTTTAATCTGGGATTTCAAGGTGAGTTGTTGTTAAGTGCCGTCGAGTCGAGTTGCGACCCATAACGACCCTGTATGGGGTTTCCAAGGAGCAGCTGGTGAACTTGAACCGCAGGCCTCTGGACTTTGCAGTCTAGCACATTAACCAACAGCGCCACACCAGGAGTCCAGTAGATGAGTTAGAACAGGTTAATACGGTTCTTAATTATTTAGCCTTTAGTGCAAAGAATGGCTGGATGCCTTTACAATGATTGCGTAGCAAGTGTAGCTGATTGTGATGAAGAATTTGTTGAGAATAGGAGTTAATTCAGTCGTGTCGATGTGGAGGCAAATTTACATAATATTAAAGGACAATTACAAGTTGTCAGTATGTCAGGTGTTTGTAAACCAGGGACTGTATTTAAAATGATTTAGGTTAAAAGTTAATTTCACTACCTTGTTCAGGATATACTTTCTTAGCTAAAGTGTACATGTATTGGAAAGCCAACAAGTCACAATTAAGATGAATTATACCAGCACAGCAATTTTAGGGATTTGCTCTCTTTTTTTTGCCTTTTACAAGTAGTTAAGGCTATTTTTGAGGTAACCTTTGAAATTGCTTTCAGTTTTTGTTTGTATAGGTTTTTATATTAAGGAGCCCTGGTGGTACAGTGGATTAAGCTCTGGGCTGTTTACTAGAAGGTTGGCAGTTTGAACCCACCAGCTACTCCAAAGGAGAAAGATAAAGACAATTTGCTTCTGTAAAGATTTATAGCCTTGGAAACCCCATGGAGCAGTTCTACTCTGTCCTATCAGGTCACTATGATTGGAATTGACTCGATGACAGCAGTGGCTTTGGTTTGGGTTTTTCTTTTACAGAAATCATCAAAAGAACTATTTCCAAGATGTAAATCATTCTACACCTTTAGCTTAGGAAATTTCTTCTTAGAAAACCCATTCTAGTACACAAAGAAGGGGAAAGACTCAAGGATCATTTCATATGGTAGCTCATATGTGCAAAACTGAACATGACAGAAAACTTATTCTCTGAACATTTCTTTCCACCATCTCTTGCCTTGTCATGCATGCTGGATCTTGTTTTGTTGTTGAAGAGATTATCTACTGTACCTCTCTTTGTTGAGTAGACAACAGTTTCCAGAGAGTTCGGGGATATGCAGCCATTCACAGACCGGGTTGGTGTCATTGTTGGTTGAGAATTCCAGTCTCCCTGCATCATGCAAAAGCCACAATACCACCTGTTTCAAGAAATACAGTATCAATATTGGACTTTGGATTTTTATTTTCACTAAAGTTCTTGGAGTGTCATATCCTTCAGAAAGACTTACATTAAAAATTGCCTTGTTGCTTTGCAAAGCATTTCCTACATTGAGAATCTCTGCAAGACATCTGTTTAAAGTCCTAGTTTCTTTTTCATAGTTAAATACAAAGTACATTGCTCAAGGGTGGTGTTCTAAATGGAAACTTTCATTCACATCAGTTTTCACGTCTTTGTTTTGTCTTCCCTTTGACCCCTGTTTTGCATTTCCAGGTGTGATGATTACTTTTTTATCGTCCATCGTGGAGAACGGAGGGGCATCGGTGGGATCTTTTTTGATGATCTTGACTCTCCATCCAAGGAAGAGGTGTTTCGCTTTGTTCAGAGCTGTGCCCAGGCTGTAGTTCCTTCATATATTCCCCTTGTGAAAAAGCACTGTGATGACTCATTCACTCCCCAGGAAAAGCTGTGGCAGCAACTCAGGAGAGGCCGGTGAGTGATATGAGAGTAAACTGTCTCCTTGCATAACTGGGGAAAAGGGAGCAGCAGTAATGATGGTGGCTGCTGTGTTGTGTTCGACAGATACTTTGTAATGATAGTGTTAATGACTACCAAGCCATGCCATTGCCATTGAGTAGATTCCAACTCATAGCGACCCTGTAAGACAGAGTAGAACTGCCCTGTAGAGTTTCTAAGGCTGCCCTCTGTGTAGAATCAGACTGCCACATCTTTGTCCTGTGGAGCAGCTGGCGGGTTTGAAGCACAGAACCTTTGGTCAGCAGCAGAGTGCTTAACTGCTGAACCACCTGAGTTCCTGTCTTGTTAATATCCTAATTCCTTTTTGTAAGCAGATGAATATTACATGAATTGCATTCAATGAATATTAAAAGACACATTGTATATATTATAAAAATAGTGACATTTATTTAATTCATCTTATACATTAGAGACTGACGGTAAGTAAGCTGAATTTAATTAAGCTGATTTCTTTTAGGTAGTCTTCTAGTAGCACCCTCCAGCCTTAGCAAAGATGTGGTCATCATTTAATGTTTTTGCGGGATGGTAAATTTGGAATCATACCTCTTTTCATTCATCTTATTGGTGCTATGAATGTCTGAGTTGAAATGATTTAAAAATTATACTTAAGGATAATATTAATTATGGAACCCTTACAATGTGCTAGCTACTATTTTAGACACTTTGAATGTAATGTTATCAACAGACTTATGAGGTAGGTCTTACACATGACAAAACTTATAAAGGTAAGTCCCTTGTGCAATATTGCACGCCCAGTAAATCTAAGATTGCAGACAAACTTTCTTACACACAAAGGAAGTTAAGCAGTTGAATCAGGTTTGAGCATCTTACCATGATACTCACTTTAGCCAGCCTGCTCTATGACTGAGCTTGGCGAGCTGAGGTCATCTTCAATCATGTTATTTCTGTTAGGTACATGTTGTTGTTATTAGGTACTAAGAGTTAGTTCTGACTCTTAGTGACTCTATATACAACAGAATATACACTGTCAGGTCCTGTGCTGTTCTTACAATTGTTAATTTTGAGCCCATTGTTGCTGTCACTGTGTTAATCCATCTTGCTGGGTGGGTCTTCCTCTTTTTTTGCTAACCCTCCACTTTCCAAGGATTCACTGTCTGTGTTGTACAGTTCTATGGCTTTTGACAACTGTTGTTATTATGTGCTGTGGAGTCGGTTCTGACTCATAGCGACCCTGTACAGAGTTTCCAAGGCTGTAAATCTTTATGGGAGCAGAAAGCCTCATCTTTCTCCCACGGAACAGCTGGTAGTTTCAAACTGCTGACCTTGTGGCTCACAGCCCGATTGGTATGCTTTCACCATTACAGTGTCATGAAGAATAGTTTCATTATCCTATAAATTGCCCTGTTCTCCACCTGTTGATGCCTCTCCCCTCCCTTTCAAACCCTGTGCAATCACTGAGCATTTCACTGTCTCAGCAGTTTTGCCTTTTCCAGGATGTCGTTAGTTGGAATCATGTAGTATGTAGCTTGTTCACATTGACTTCTTCTACTTTACTGTATTCATTTAAAGTTCTTCCCTTGTGTTTTCATATCTTAATAGCTCATTCGTTTTGTCAATGAATACCATTGCATTGCATGGAAGTACCACAGTCCAGTCACCTATTGAAGTATCTTGGTTGCTTCCAATTTTTGGCAATTATAAATAAAGGCACTGTGAACATTTGTATATAGGTTTTTGCATGGAATTTTAAGTTGTTTGTTTATTTGGATGATAAGGGATTTTTAAAGTTCCATTTGTGGGTATATCTTTGCATGTCTCATATCTTTTGAGTTTGACAGAAACATGGAATGTTAGATTAATTTTCTGTGGTGTGGTGTGTGACTGTTCGTCAAAGGGACCCTTCTTTTCTGCCACCCTTATCTCTGAGCTTTAAGAGAGCCATACCTTCTGGTGCTTAAGATAACCCCTGTTATTTACTGGCATTATCAGCACTTTCTCCACCTCTTTGTACTATGTTCATAACCCCTTATTTGTATGCTTTCCAGATTATTCTTCCCTTCTACCAAGCTTCCCTTGCAGTGGCTAGCCTGGTTCCCTTTGGACTTTACAATCTCTTATTTTGCAGTCTTATCTAGTCTCTAGCCCTTGATTACCACCATTCTCTCCCTGAGTCCTTGAACTTCACTTTCTTAGTCACTTTTTTCTTAGAACAATGGAAAAGAGATCTGTTAACTTATTTTTGTTTTGTTTCATCTTTTCTTCGGGAAGGAGGAAGTGGATAATATCTGGAGCATTAGTTACATTGAAAGGAATGAGCAAAGGCCCAGCAGTTTCCAGCAGCTTGGAGAAGCTAATATGTGGAAAGGGTCAGAGAGACCAGATATAAGTGGAACCTGGTGGGAGTCAGAGAGGTTAATGTAAGGAATGGGCCTACAAGAAGTGCAAGGAATCAGGGTACTACAGATTGATCACAGTATAAAAGTTAAGTGGATCAGATCAGATGAAATTAATTTAGGGAGCTCCTTAGGCCTTTGTACATGTTGACACAAATTATAGAAACCAACCATGGTCATGTTTTAGAAAGATAAGATCAGGAATGAAAAATATGGCTGAGGCTGAAATTTTTTTCCAGAATCTTAGTGAGGAGGAAGTTAAGAAGGTACTCTTATCTTTTGAAACAGGCTGAAGAAAATATTAAATGGTTATTGTGCACAAAATTCAGTCAACAAATAGTGGATACTAAGAAGGGATCCACGGATACAGTGTATTTAAATTTTTATAAGGCCTTTTGCAAGTTTCCACACAAAATGATACCTTAAAAAAATCTTTTAAGTGTCAAGTAGAGACTATTTTGATTTTGTGGACTTAAAGAAAGGTGCCCTGATGGCTCAGTGGTTAAGTGCTTGACTGCTAACTGAAAGGTGAGCTGAAACCTGAGGCAGTTTTCATCCATAAAGATTCCAGTCTTGGCAATCCTGTGGGATACTTCTACCCTGTGCTATGTGGTTGTTGTGAGTAAAATTGATTTGATGGCACAGGGTTAAACTTAAACAGAGGAACCAATGGAATACATATTTTTTTAAAATCCGAATCAGCCCATAGCTCTACTGATGTAAATTGAGAAAAGTTTAGTGAAACTTAAGAATTCTGGATCATTCTAAATTCTTTTGGGTAGTAGTAGAAGTTATCCTTTTGAAACTGGGGAGGACAGACCATTTCACAATGTATAATGTATACATTCACAAAATATACCCTGATGTTAAAGGTAGGCACAGACTTTAGGCTAGGTGGAAACTAGATATGACTCTGTAGTAGATAAAAAACTAAAGCACTGGGCCAGGTTTTTCCTGATCTTAAGGGTGTTTTTCTAGAAATAAAAGCAAAAATTAAGCACTGTAATGTAAACACCTCTTTTTTAGTATGATTGCTATTAATACACAGAAAGATTGCATTTTATCACCATTTACTGGTGTGTTTAACGACTTTAAAAAAGGGAATATCAAAATATATTAGTAATTATAAATGCATTACTGTTAGCTATATTTGGTTTTTCAGTTGCAAACGATTTAACAGTTCTAGTAAAAGTACTTTCTTAGAATTACATGCAGTGAGATGAAATCCTGGCTATGAAGTGTCTCAGACTATGGAGATAGCCAGCAGGAGCTGTGCATTTTTATAACTACATATTTAGGAAAACCTGAGAAAGGATGCCAGTTCAGTTGTCGTGTCTTCAAGTTTGCTGCTTTGGGTCCGTTCTGCTTGTTTATTGGAAAATATAACCTTGTTTTATAACTGTTCTGTGCTGGGGCAGACTCTAGATCCTATTGTTTGGTTGGGAGAGAATACCCTTTTATTCATGCTCTTCCAGATGGAGAATGCTCAGTTGGTTTCAAACTGCTGGTCTCTGAACCAGCTCCGTCTGCCTGAGGAGGGGCAGTGAGGGAAACCTGGCCCTACTTCAAGCATTTACTATAAGCTAATGTTAAGATTTTACTCAGTTTACCTTAATGTCGTATAATGTCTTTGTGGCAGATATGTGGAGTTTAATCTGCTGTATGATCGAGGCACAAAATTTGGCCTCTTCACTCCAGGATCCAGGATTGAAAGCATCTTGATGTCTTTACCTCTCACTGCCCGGTAAGAAGATAACCTTAGTAGTTAACTCCTCTCTTTGACTCCCTAAAATATGAAAGTTAACAGCCCAAATGCCTAACCTGCTTTTTAGGCATTTGTAGGAAAGTGGGTGGTATATGATAAACATTGGACTGCTTACCAGAAGATTGGTGATTCAAACCCACCATTAGCTCCTTGGAAACTCTGTACAGTCGCTGTGAGTCAGAACTGACTCAGTGGCACTTAACAACAACAGCTCAGGAAAGTCAAAATCAAATAATTATGGAAAATCAAATGGGATTTTTAAGTGCTATAGGATGAATGGTGTAGCTTGTGTGTGAGAATAGAGGAAGCATAGAAGAAGTGAGACGGTAGGGTGATGGTGGGATCTAGGGGAGCCAGGTTAACCTTTCCTAGTTGGTAATGATCTGGGAAGAGCTATGGTGGTTGGTGGTGATTGTGTGCAGTTGAGTTGGTTCCAATGCATAGCAACCCGGTATAGGGTTTCCGAGGCTGTAAATCTTTATGGGAACAGAAAGCCTCATCCTTCTCCTATAGAGCAGCTGGTGGATTTGAACTTCTGACCTTGTGGTTAGCAGCCCAGTGTGTAACCCACTATAGTACCAGGGCTCCTTGGAAGAGCTATGGTGTTGTTAAGTGCTGCTGAGTCAGTTCCAACTCGTAGTGACCCTGTATTGGGTTTCCAAGAATGGCTGATGGGTTTGAACTGCCAACCATGCTGTTAGCAGTACAGTCCTTACCCTACAGCATGGAAGAGCTATTGTTGTTAAGTGCCGTTGAGTCAGTTCCGACCCATAGAGGCCCTGTATAGGGTTTCCAAGGAGTGGCTGGTGAGCTTGAGCCGCTGACCTTGCAGTTCAAACCAACTTTGCAGTCCAGCACATTAACCCACAGTACCACACCAGGACTCCATGGAAGAGCTATAGGCTTAGTAAATTTATTGAATGTATCAGCTTTTAAACTTAATTATATTAGAAATTAATGTTCTTGGTCGAAGTATCTCACTCCCCAGGAGAAGGTATGCAATCTCTTTGAAAGAATTGAGAGATATTTCAGGAATGCAACATTCTCTCTCTGCTTCATGTCTCCTTTAGTGGGCATCCATAAATGTTCATGCAGTTTGGTTAGAGAAGTTTAAAGCCACATCTATATTTTTGTTGGTGCAGTTAGGTGAATGGTATTAATATTTATAGTTGTTTTCTTGGCTATAAAAAAAAGTAAGAGGGATATAGATATGTGCCCAGACTGAAACAGGAAAGAACAGAAAAAATATAGCTTGCTTCATTGCTTCATTGGATGGTATTAGAAGTCTGCCTCGCACTGTGCTGCTGACTAGGTTTAGCCTTGTGAGATAAGTACTCTACAGTCAGCACTGCCTTCAAGATGGCATTGGCTCTGTCCTTGTTCAGCCAGAGTTTTCAGGATCTCCTGTTCTTGGCAGAAAGCTCACACACATCACTGTTCCATACTTAAGCCACTCTAGAGGGCAGATGTGAACAAAGTGGACCCTTAATTATAATGCAGAGCCAAAGCTGCAGATATGGGTTGATGCTAAGCCAATCCTTTGTTCCATCGAATACAATTGACACACCAGGCTACTTTTAGTTTCTTCTACGGTAAACCAAGGGTGGAGAATATCTGGCCCATGGGCCATTTAAGGCCTGCAAAATCATTTGATTTGGCCCTGCCAAGGAAAACTACAATTCCAGGTGTTAACGTTGTCGTTAAGTGTTGTGGAATCGGTTCCAACTCATAGCAACCCTGTATAGGGTTTCCAAGGAGCAGCTGGTGGGTTTGAACTGCCAACCTTGTAGATCAAGCAGACCTTGTGGTCTAATGCATTATCCTGCAGTGCCACACCAGGACTCCAGCCATCACATCAGGGGTGAGCTCAGTAAATGTTTGACCAAATATAGCAGGCTAATTTTTAAGTTGATAATTTTGTATGGCCTGCCAATGATGTTATAAATTTTGGCAGAAGAAAGGTTCCCCACCCTTGCCCAAAACCAAGGATCCGTGATACCACAACAGTCAAGTGCTCAGCTGCTAACTGAAGGGTTGCTCTGCCGGAGAAAGACCCAACTTTTTGCTGTCATAAAAATTGTTTTTATTTAGTGCCAGTGAGTTGATTCCAACTCAGAGTGACCCTGTATAGGGTTTCCAATGAGCGGCTGGTGGGTATGAATTGCTGATGTTGCAGTTATCAGTTCAGTGCTTATTTTACAGTGCCACACCGACCTAGAAAACCCTGTGGGGCAGTTCTGTTCTTTCACATGGGGTCACGTCAGTCTAAATAGACTTTTCGGCTCCTAACTTTAATTTATTTGAAATTAATATACTTATTATCAGTAGAAGGCATGAAAGCTCTTTGAAATAATGAGAGATTTCAGGAATGCAGACTGAGAGCCTAAAAGACCCATCTGCACTTTGTTCACTTCTCCCTTTTGGGTGGCTTGAGTGCATAACTACAACATGGCCTGAACCTGGGGTCTCTAAGTGTAAGGCCTATGGGTCAAATCCAAATCACTGTAGTCTGTATATAGCCTTAGATTTAAGAATGGAGTCCCTGTGTGGTATAAGCAGTTAATAAATTTAGCTGCTAACCAAAAGGCTGGTGATTCAAATTTACACAGAGATGCCTTGGAATGAAGGCCTGGTGATCTACTTCTGAAAAGTCAAGCATTGAAAACCTTATGGAGCACAATTCTATTCTGACACACATACGGTCACCATAAATCAGAATCAACACTATGGCAATTAGAACTAGAGAGCTAAGAATGGGTTTTACATTTATCAAGGGTGTGTGGTGCTGTGGGTTAATGCGCTAAACTGCAAAGTCGGTTTGAACTGCAAGATTGGTGGTTCAAGCTCACCAGTCGCTCCTTGGAAACCCTATACAGAGTCGCTATGGGTCAGAACCATCTCAACAGCACTTAACAACAGCAACAAAAACCACAAGGATCCCTGATGTGGTGCAGTGGCTTAATGCGTTGGGCTGCAAGGTTGGTTTGAACCTCAGAGTCTGTGGTTCAAGCTTATCATTCGCTCCTTGGAAACAGTATACAGGGTTGCTATGAATTGGAACCGAATCAATGGCACTTACCAACAACAACAAAGACCACAAGGAGTCCTGATATGGCGCAGTGGGTTATGTGCTGGACTACAAAATTGGTTTGAAACACAAAGTTAGCGGTTCAAGCTCATCAGCCACTCTGATTGCTGTGGGTCGGAACTGACTCTGCGGCACTTAACAGCAACCACAACAAAAGATCATAAGGGGAGTGCAGTGGCTCCATGATAAGCACTGAACTGTGAACCACATGGTCTGTGGTTTGAGCATGCCAGGTGCTGTGCAGGTGAAAGATGAGGCTTTCTGGTCCTATGAAAATTTAAAGCCTTTGGAAAGTCTACAGAGGGTTGCTATGTGTTGAAACTGACTCAGCGGCACGTAACAACATCAAAAACCACAGGGTCAGCAATTCAAACCCACCAGCTGCTCCTTGGAAAGCCTATATAGGGTTACTATGCGTCAGAACCAACTCAACAGTACTTAACAACAACAACAAAACCCCACACAGAATCAAATGATATTCAACAGAAACTATATGGAGCTTTTTAAAGCCAGAAGTTTTTCCTCTTGGTTCTTTACAGATGCTTGTCAAGCCTGATCAAAATCTGTTTTTCCGAAGCTTCATACTGTAGGTTGAATTTTCTCCATTTGTGCATACTACATGTGACATTATTTGCTTAGTATTCTACACTACACCTACATACCTTTTAAAAATTAAAATTTAAAAAGGAAAATCTTTAATTGAGAAATTGGTAATACTTTACCATAATTGGAAAGTACCACATTGCAATAAATATAAATATAGTAAGCTAGGAAGCAGAAAATTATTTTAGCTCTGGGATAATTGATACTAACCAACGTATAACCAAGAAATATTAAGAAACTCCTGATTCTTTTGTTGTGCTGTTGAATAGATTCGTAGTGACCTTAAAGGATAGAGAAAAACTGACTCATTTGGGTCTCCAATGCTGTAATGTTTATGGTATGGCGCTATGGGTTAATGTGCTGGACTGCAATGTTGGTTTGAACCGCAAGGTCGGTGGTTCAAGCTTACCAGCCGCTTCTTGAAAACCTATACATGGTTGCTATTGGTAGGAACCAACTTGATGGGACGTTAACAACAACGTTTATGGGAACAGATCGTCAGGCTTTTCTCCCCTGAAATGGATGTTGTGTTGTGTTATTGTTGTTGCTAAGTGCTATCGAGTTGGTTCCGTCCCATAGTAACACTGTGTAGGGTTTCTGAGGAGCAGCTGGCGAGCTTGAACAGCTGACCTTGTGGTTCAAACCAACTTTGTAGCCCAGCGCATTAACTCACAGCGCCACACCAGGACTCCATGAAATGGATATTGTTGTTAAGTGCTGTCAAGTCAGTTCTGACCCACAGCGACCTTGTATCAGGCTTCCGAGGAGCAGCTGGTGAGCTTGAACCACCGACCTTGCAGTTCAAACGGCTTTGCAGTCTGGTGCATTAACCCACAGTGCCACACCAGGACTCCATGAAGTAGATGGTGGGGTCAAATTACCAATGTTTGGTTGGCAGCTAAGCACGTAACCACTATGCCAACAGGGTTCCCATGTCAGGCGCAGTGAAGATAAACGTATAAAGCATTTTTTGCTATTTTAGAATTTTCCTGTTATTTATAAACTTTTCATTTACTTAGAAATAAAAAGTAAAGAGGTATGTATGTCAGTGATTTCTTGTATCATTATTATATTTCTTTCCTTCTGTTTTGATCGTACACAGATGGGAGTACATGCATTCACCCTCAAAGAATTCCAAAGAAGCTGAAATTCTGGAAGTTCTGCGCCATCCAAGGGATTGGGTACATTGATTTAGGCAGAGCAGCCATGCTATGCTGGGGCCTGGAGGAGTGTGTGTCCCCTCTCCTTGGTTGGCACCATGGCCACTATGTAGCAATTTGTTACCTGTGCCTTAGTGATTCCCAATTTTCTTAACTCTGGGTCCACCCCCTGTGCAAGGGGTAAAATATGTTTTAAACGCCACAACTTTCTGTTGTATCCTGCCACTGTCAGACTGTTTAATGGTGAATTGTTTGTTCTTTACAGCCATTTTTGTTTTTAAGTATCATCGAGTTGATTCTTACTAATAGAAGCAGCTGGTGGGTTTAACTGGTAACCTTGAGGTTTGTAGTCCAGAGCTGATCCTGCAGCACTACACCAGGAGTCTTAGAGCCATTTAACGATACAAAAACTCATTCATACTTTTTAAATCATTTTATATGACTAGTTTACAAAATATGACATTGAATTTATAAGTGTTGCATAAAGGGAATCTAAATATCGTAATAATTTATAGCATGCAGCTTCTCATGTTACTTTTGTTTCATGTATTTTGGAAAGTTTTAATTTTTGCCACAGAAATTTCTATTATGGGATACATTTTCTTTTCATTAATTCAGTGAAATTGAAACTTAACCAGTAATTTTAGAAAGTAGTTTGAAAATGAGATAAAAGTTTACATTGTCGTTACTGAAGTTTCTTGGCTTATCATGTTTATATTTTATATCTCAAGAGATCATGATGTTATAAAATATTCATTTTTAACTATACATATTTAGGAAAACAATATATTCTTAATCTCTGCAGTTCAGTTATTACCTATAGTTGTTAACTTCTAAAGTAGCACTATTGGTATTTAAATAGAGATGTCACCGTTGTAATTTTGGCTTTTGTAGAACTGTATAATTTGTTAATGTTGGGATTTTCTGGACTGTTGAATGTTACAATTTATATCCCTGGATTCTGATACTTAAATTTTTCTGGTTTTAGAGTTTCTGCAAAATACAGATTCTTGTCTTTACTCCTAAGAGAGAATCACAACAGAATTTCTAATTTATGACTTCTTGGTTCATACAATAATGTGAATGTATTGTTTTGATTAATAATAAATATTAATATTTCTAAGGAGAGTATCTTCTGCTTATTATTAAGAATTATCATAGAATACACTGAATATGTTATTGTGTGTAAGTTTTCAGGGCTAGAAAATGTATTAAACTCAGTGAGTGTTCTTTAGTTCATTTGTTTTGTAACAGATCCACTAATAAATTTTATTTCAGATAAGACATAAATGTTTGTATTCTTCATTTTGGTTGGGATAATCTATCAAAAGAAAAGTCAAATAGTTGTTAGTATTGATACTGTCTTTCCTTACTCTCAAGTATGAAAAAATAGTTGTTTAAAACCATGGAGCAAAAAACTACACTGACACACGTGGGGACAACATTTGTTGGAATCTACTCAATTGCTTTTTATTTTTTTTAAGTATTTACTCAAGAGAAATGAAAATCTAAGTTTTGTACTTAATTTTTCATAGCAGCTTTATTCATGATAACCAATATCTGAAATAACCCAAATGCCCCTTAGCAGATGAATAGATAAAGGAATTGTGGTACATGCATATTGTTGTTGTTAAGTGTTGTTGAGTAAGTTCTGATTCATAGTGACTTTGTGTAGGGTTTCCAAAGAGTGGCTAGTTAAGTTTGAACCGCTGACCTTATGGTTAGCTGTCCAGCCTTGTCCTTTATTTAGCACCACACCAGGACTCTATAAATAAAAGGGAACAAATTTGATAATACAACATGGATAAATATCACAAACAATATACTAAGTGATATGATCTAGACACAAAAGAGTACTTACTTTATGACTCCATTATATGAAAAGTTAGAATGGCAAAACTTTAACAGTAGAAACAGACTGTGAAAGGGCAAAATGATTATTTTGAACTGATGGAAATGTTTTGCATATTGATTGTGGTGGTGGTTACAGGACCCTGTACTTGTCAAACTCATCACTAGATGTTTTAAATCAGTGAATTTTATTGTAGGTGAATTATACCTCATAAAGCAGATGGAAAGAAGAATGACTTAAGTTGTGAGGTGTGATCCATTCAGCCTCTACTCATAATGACCCTATGCACAACAGAATGAAACACACTGCCTGGTCTGGCACCATCTTTATAATTCTTATGTTTGAAGCCATTGTTGCCATCATTCTGTCAATTCATCTCCTTGGGGTCTTCCTTTTTTTTTTTTTTTTTTTGCTAATCCTCCACTTTATTAAGCATGATGTCCTTCTCCAAGGAATGATCCCTCCTGATTAACATGTCCAAAGAATGAGAGACCAAGTCCCTCCATCCTTGATTCTAAGGAGCGTTGTGGCGTACTTCTTCCAAGACAGATTTGTTTGCTCTGATAGTCCATGATTCCTTTAATCTTTGCCAACATCATAAATCAAAAGTATCTTCTATGATCTTGGTTACTCATTGTCCAACTTTCAAATGCATATGAGGTCAGTGAAAATATCATGGCTTGAGTTAGGCGCACCTGACTTCAAAGTGACATCTTTGCTCTTAAACACTTTGCAGCAGATTTGATTTCTTGATCACTGCTTCCATGAGCATTCATTGTGAATCCAAGTCATTTAAAGTCTTTGGCATAAATATTTTTCCATTTATTATGATGTTATTTATTTATATGTTATTTATTGGACTAGTTGTGAGGATTTCTGTTTTCTTTACACTGAGGTGCAATCCATACTGAAGTCTATATTCACTGATCATCATCAGTAAGTGTTTTAAGTCCCTTTTACTTTCAGCAAGCAAGGTTGTATCATTCTGCATTTCACAGGTTGTTAATGACTCTTCCTCCAATCCTGATACCATGTTCTTCATATAATGTAATATCTCTGGTTATTTGCTCAGTATACAGATTGGATAAGTATGATGAAAGGATACAACTTTGGTACACACTTTTCCTGATTTTAAGCCATTCAATATCCCCTTGCTCTGAACAACTGCCTCTTGGTCAATGTACAGATTCCTCATGAGCACAATTAAGTGTTTTGGAATACCCATTTTTTACAATGCTATTCGTAGTTTCTTACAATCCACACAGTCAAATGGTCAAGCATAAGTAAGCATCTTTCTGGTATTCTCTTTCAACCAAGATCCATCCGACATCAGCAATGATATCCTTCATTCCACATCCTCTTCTGAGCCCAGCTCAAATTTCTGGCTGCTCCCTGTCTTACTACTATAATTACATTTGAATGATCTTCAGAAAAATTTTACTTAGATGTGATATTGGTATTGTTTGCATTTCCACATTCTGTTGGGTCACCTTTCTTTGGAATGGGCACAAATGTGGGTCTCTTCCAATCAGTTATCCAAATAGGAGTTCAAGTCAGTCTTACACAGTTTTTGACATAGAAGGATGAGTACTGCCAGTGCTGGCTACATCAGTTTGTTGAAACATTTCCATTTATATTCCATCAATTCTTGGAGCCTTGTTTTTCAAAAATGCCTTCAGTGCTACTTGGACTCCTTTCTTCAATACCACTGACTGTTGATCATATGATACCTCTTGTAATAATTGATTATCGACTAATTCTTTTTGGAAGAAAATTCCTTCATTTTCTTTTGCTATTTCCAGGATCATTCAATAATTTGTCCATTGTTGTTGTTGGGTTCTTCGAGTGGGTACCAAATCATATCGACCCTATGCACAACAGAACAAAACACTGCCTGGTCCTGTGCCAACCTCACAATTGTTGCTACATTTGAGTCCATTGCTGCTGCCAGTGTGCCAATCCATATCTTTGGAATCTTCATCTTTTTCTCTGATCCTCCACTTTTCCAAACATGATATCCTTCTCCAGGGACTAGTCCTTGATAATAGGTCTGAAGTATGAGAGATGAAGTCTGGCCATCCTGGCTCCCAATGAGCATTCTGGTTGTACTTCTTCCAACACAGATTGGTTTGTTCTTTTGGCAGTCCATGGTACTTTCAATATTCTCCTCCAACACCGTAACTCAAATGCATCAATTCTATGGTCTTCCTCATTCACTGTCCAACATTCACAAGCATATAAGGTTACTGAAAATACCATGGCTTGGGTCAGGCGTACCTTAGTCCTCAAACTGACATCTTTGCTCTTCAACATTTTAAAGAGGTCTTGTGCAGCAGAAGTGCCTAATGTAATAAGTCATTTGAATTCTTGACTAATGCTTCCATAAGTGTTGATGGTTAATTCAAGCAATATGAAGTTTTCGACAACTTCAATCTTTTCTCCATTGATATGGATGTTGTTTATTGGTTCAGTGGTGAGGATTTTTGTTTTCTTTACATTGAGGTGCAATCCATACTGAAGGCTGTGGTTTTTGATCTTCATCAGTTAAGTAATTTAAACCCTCTTTGCTTGCAGCAAACATGGTTGTATTATCTGCATATTGCAGGTTGTTAATGAGTCTTCCCCCAATCCTGATGCCATTTTTTCCTTATTATAATCAACTTCTAAAATTATTTGCTCAGCATACAGATTGAGTAAGCATGGTGAAAGAATACAACCCTGGCATACAACTTTCCTGATTTTAAATCATTCAGTGTTCCTTTGTTCTATTCAAACAACTGCATCTTGGTCTATGAATAGGTTTCTCATGAGTGCAATTAAGTGTTCCAGAGCACTCATTCTCCACAATGTTGTCCATAACTTGTCATGATCCATACAATCAAAAGCTTTTGTGTAGTCAATAAAGCACAGGTCAACATCTTTCTGGTATTCTCTGCTTTCAGCCAAGATCTATCTGACATCAGCAATGATGTCCCTTGTTCCATGTCCTCTTCTGAATCCGGCTTGAACCTCTGGAAGTTCTATGTCAATGTATAGTTGAAGCCATTTTAGAATTATCTTTAACAAAATTTTATTTGCATGTGTATTAATGATTTTTTGTCAGATGATTTCCACATTCCGTTAGGTCACCTCTCTTTGAAATGGGCACAAATATGGATCTCTTCCTGTGAGTTGGCCA